ACATTAACACGCCACTCAGCTGCTTGTTAATGCAAACGTCCACGCAGCCAATCACATTGATGGTGCAGTTAGGGATGACGTGATGGAGAGATGACCTGCTGCTCAAACTGAGCGTCACAATGAGGAAGGAATGACATTTAAGTGACTCTGAACATTTCATTATAGTTGGTGCCTCATGAGTTGGTCTGAGTATTTCAGAGGCTGCTGATTGGCTGGGATTATCCTTCACGTAACCATCTCCAGGGTTTTCAGAGGTCAGAGGAGTGAGTACTTGAGCTGAAATGAATGCGACAGTAACTTAAACCAGTGTTGCAATGTCTGCAGAAGAGCATCTCCAAATACACAATGAACCTTGAGGCAGCAGCAAACAACCACACTGTGTGCCACACACACATTTCTATTGCAACAGTCAAATAGTGCAATCAGAATCTGACACAAACATGAAAGCATGGATCCGCCTGCCTTGTGTAAGTTGTTCCTCATGGTGGTGTAAGGGTGTGGGGAATCGTTTAAACCAGGGGTAGGCAACTCCAGGCCTCGAGTGCCGGTGTCCTGCAGGTTTTAGATCCCACCCTGGGTTAACACACCTGAATCAAATGATTGTTCATTACCAGGCCTTTGGAGAACTTCAAGAAATGCTGAGGAGTCATTTAGCTCTTTAAATCAGCTGTGATGGATCATGGACACATCTAAAACCTCCAGGACTCCGGCACTCGAGGCCTGGAGTTGCCTACCCCTGGTTTAAACACTACAGCCTGCCTGAGTATTGTTGCTGACCATGTCCGTTCCTCTATGACCACAGTCTACCATCTTCACTGTACTCAAATGGCCTCTACAGTCACCTGATTTCAATTCAACAGAGCACTTTTGGGATGTAGTGTAATGGAAGATTCTCATCATGGATGTGCAGCAACAATCCTATGATGTCAGCTTGGACCGAAATCCCTGAGAAATGTTTCCCGCCCTGGTTAAATCTATTCCACGGAGAGTTAAGACAGTTCCAAAGTCTAAAGGGGAACTAACATGGTACCAAGGCGTACCTGATATACGCTGTGTCCCAATTCAGGGTCTGCAGCCTTAAAGGCCGCATTTTAAGGCCGATTACGTCACAGCGACGC